GGGGCTTCTCCCCACAGGATAGCATCTGTGTGTTGAGCGGGGAGGCCTAGAGCCTTCCACGAGAACTCTGCCCAGGAATCCCAATGATTGACTGAGGACTTATCCCTAATATTGCCCATGGTGACCTAGCTGGGCTGGAAACTTGTGAGAAAATTTGTTATTCCATGGCCACATTTCTTACCCCCATGGAAAGAGAGATAGAGTGGCTTTAGCAGGAAAATAACACAGACTTTTCCCCAAGAGGCACAAAGTGGGGCCAGGGAGCAGCAGGATTCTGAGGCCCCAGTTCAGCCCAGCCCATGACAGCCTTTGCCTTCCTAGGACGGGCACCCTGCCCGGCCTGCTCCATGCCGTCCCCTCTGAGCCTCTGCCTGTTCTGCTGTGGGGGCCACTCGAGGACGCTCTCTCCAGCACTCTGCTACCTCCCTGGGGCAGCCTGTCCTCCGCACAGACCCCAGGCACTGAGCCCTGGTTGTATCTCATGGCTCTCCTTTCCTATCACTCCTGGAAATTTCCTCGGAACTTCCAGTCTGCTCCATGCCAAGCACTGCCCTGGCCCATGGGCCACATTTGACCTCTTCCCCGAGTTCACCCCACCCCTATACCCCACCAATACCCAACCACATCTGCCTTCCCGTGCCCCTTGATCTAGAAATGCTCCAACCTCAGTCTACTCAGTGGCCAGAACCAGAGTGCACTGCAGGTGGATGAGCCCGCCTCTCCCCTCTGAGTCCTCATCTGCTCCCGCCTCCCGCCCTCTCCTACGTGGGACTGACGGTCTTACCTTTATCTTTGTCTCTATCTCCCTGCTGAAGCGGTGTCCTGCTCCTGGCCCTTTCAGCAGCCCAGCCCCGGGGCTGTGAGTGCTCCCCTCCTGGCTGCTCATTAGCCCCTGCTCAGGCAGCCACACTGATGGCTGGACTTGAACTTGTAACCCTCCTGCCACAGCCTCCTGCCACAGAGTGCAGGGATTATAGCTGTTGAGCACCTTGTTTGGCTGAGGATATTTCTTGAGCTCATAGAGAGTAGTAGAGGTGGAGCCCCTAGGGGTAGGAGAGAACAAGGAGAGGGAGGTGGCAGGCTCCGGTGGGCACAGCTTTGCTCAGGCTCACTTGCTCCCTTTTCATCCTCCAGCCTGGGTGAGGGGTGCAGAGGAGGGCTGCCCGGTGTGGGGGCTGAGGATGCACCCCCACCCCCAGCTCAGAACACTGTTTAAGTCCTCTGTTTTTAGTGCCCACCACCCCAGAGCCCAGGCTGGGGCCCAAGCAGCGGGTGAGTAGAGCCAGTGAGGGCCTTTTTGGTCCCACATAAAGCCAGCAAACCCTCAGTCCAGCCTCAGGACAGGCGTCCAGGACAGCTGTCACCCTCCTGTGCGGGCCATCTCAGGGGGACACCGCACAGGGCCTGGGGTGAACATTGCCTCCCCAGGATGCTGGCCAGGTCCCCAGTGAGGAAACGCCCTCCTTTCCTCAGGGCCAAGTCTGGGTTCAGCCATCTCAGGGACGGTCCTGAGACCCCAGGCTTGAGGCTCTGGGATCCAGGGCTCAAGGAAGTGGCCTGAGACAGAGGATTGGTTTGAATGACCTCTCAAGGACAAGGCCAAATCCTGGCCCCCTGTGACCTAAAGATCCCGGCGTACGCAGCAGAGTGCAGCCACCTTGCCCACCAGTCCACCTGGGCCGCTGGGCCCCCTTCCAGGGCTCTGCAGTGAGCTGTGACTGCAGCCTCAGCACCTGGTCCTATCAGGCAGCCGCATCCACGGTCCCTGCACCTGGCTCTGTGTCTCTTTCTGCTGGGCTCACAGGAGAGGCCAAAGCCCCAAGGGTCCCCTGATCATCTGTCTGCTCCAGCAAATAGGTTGGAGATGGGGGGCAGGATAGGGACTCAAGGCATCTTGCCCTGCTCTGGGGCCTGGACTGGGGCTCCTGTGAGAGCCAGGGTCTGGGCTCAGCGGGCTCAGAGCAGCACCCTGTCCTTCCCTGTCCAGAATGCCCATGTCAGGTGCCCCACCTTCCCGGACCTTTGCGAGAACCGGGAAGATGCACAAGGCATGTGGGAGTGGAGCATTCTTTGCGGCTCTGTCTCTGTCTCTGTCTCTCTGTCTCTTCTCTCGCTCTTTCTGAGACAGAGTCTTTGTAAGAATTCAAGCTGCTCTTGAACTCACTATGTAGCCCAGGCTGGCCTTCAACTTTGGCAACACTCCTGCCTTAGCCTCCTGAGTGCTGGGATTGCAGGCACGTACCATCATGCTCCACCGTGTCCACTGCATTCTTTGCTTTCTGCTGGTACAGGGAAGGGGCCTTGCCACACAACTTGCCCTGGGAGCAGAGTCAGAAATGACAGCTTGTCAGGACCTGAGCTTCTGACTGATGGAAAGAGCCAATCGGATGCATGGAAGAGGTCCAGTGAGCACACACAGGGCGCCCTTGTCCCTGCAAGACTGGAGCTCTGGGAAGGTCCCTCTTGTCCTCTATCCTCTTCCTTTCTCTCTACCTTGCACAGTGGTGATGGGGGGAGGAGTAGATACCTTGACATGTGTTTCTAAGGGTTGGCAACAGCCAGGTGGCCTGTAATTACTTCCTCTTCAGTGGTCTCCTCAGTCCTCCCTTTCCTCCTGCAACACCTGCCAGCTCAGCAGCTGCTCTGTAGCCGTGGCCCTGGGTCTCCTATGGCTGGGCCTCACCCTGGTGGGGGCCCGGCAGACCCAAGCCCAGGACTTTAAGCTGACCCTGATGCCAATCTCATCTCAGAGCAAGATTCCTGTGCAACCAAACTTCCGGGATGACCAGGTAAAGGTGTGGAAGGGCAGCTGCAGTGAGGTCTGGGGGACAGGGACAATGGGAGCAGAGGGGAGGAGAGGCAGAGGGACTCAGGAGCAAGGTAGTATGAGGACAGCCCGACTGAGGGAGTCTAGGTCCCAGGTCATGCCAGGTGGAGACGTCTTCAGTTCCTCCACATGGATAAGAAAACTGAGGCTTTGGGACACACACCAGCCACTCGCCCGGGGCCACCTCATCTTTGACAATGCAGCGCTAACTCCTCATCCATGGTCCCTCCTGGCCCCAGAGGACTCTAGTGCCTGCTGGTTTCTCAGGGGAGCCCCATCTCCAGTCTCTGCCGCCAAGAGGGCATCCCAGAGGTCCCAAAAGGGACAGCATGGGAGAGGTGGCTCTGGGGCCATGCCTGGGCTCTGTCGCATCCGTCTCTTGCAGTTCCAGGGGAAGTGGTATGCTATAGCCATGGCAGACAACAGAATTCGGAATGGAAAGCAAAAGAAGTTAAACGTGTATAGCACTACCTACAAGCTGAAAGGTGACTGCAGCTACATTGTCATCACCACCACGTTCAGGTGAATTTGCTACCTCCTAACAGTGTGAGAAGCCGAGCAGGGTCAGTCAAGGGGTGACCAAAGCTGAGGGGCGCTGTCCTTCGTCTCACTGGTCTGCATGGACCCAGTCTTCTCCCTTCTCTCCCTTCTTCCTTGTCTCCCTTCTTCCTTTCCTCCCTCTCTTTGCTCCCTTCCTTCCATCAACATTCATGGGTGGCTTTAGCACAAACGCAATCAGAAGAAAACAGGACATAATATGTTAGAGAGGGAGGGGGAACTGGATCTAGCCTGGGATGCCACCCAGTGCCACCAGGTAGGCCTGGTAGGGATGGCACCTTAACACTGTTGACCTGCCTGTAGTCCTAGCATCTCCAGAGGCAGAGGCAGGAGGATCACAAAATTGAAGCCAGGCTGGGCAATAAAACAAGAGATTGTCTGAAAATAGAAATGAAAAAAGATTGGGGATGTATGCCATTGCAATGGGCCTGGGTTCGATCACCACCATCATCAAAAGAAAAGAAAATAAAAAGGGGTCACAGCAGGACTGTAGGACTCTGAGTCAGACAGCCTCACCTTAGGAGGCAGCAAAGCAGCCAGACATCAGGATGGGCACCTGAGCAGGGGGTGATGAGCAGCCAGGAGGGGAGCACTCCCAGGCCAGTGTCCTGGGCATCTCACCCTGAGTCAGTGTTGGCCTGGGGCTCCTGCAAGGGCCAGGATCTGGGTACAGCTGCCGCAGGGGAGGTGGGGGACAACTGTGAAGGTAATGCCAGGCGGGAGGTGGCAGAGGTAGCGCAGATGAGGACTCAGAGGGGCAGAGCCCAGGCTCGTCCACCTGCAGTATGTTCTGGCTCTGGCCGCAGGGTGTACTGGAGCTGGAGCATTTGAAGATCAAGGGCAACAGGAAGGCAGGTTTGGTTGGCTTGTTGCTGGGGTGCAGAAGTTGGGTGGACTCAGGGGTGAGGTCAGGTGTGGCCCAAGGGCTAGGGTGGAGCTTGGCATGGAGAAGACTGGAAGCTCAGGAAACTGCAAGGAAAGGTGGCAAAGAAGAGCAGCAAGATAAGAGCAGGGCTCAGTGCCTGGGGTCTGGGTGGGGGACAGGTGGCCCCAGGGAGGCAGCGGAGGTGACAGTGAGTGCTGGAGGGAAGGTTGAGTGACCCTGCAGCAGACCAGGCAGAGGCACAGAGTAGAAGGCCCAGGGCCTTGGAGATGTCTGATAGGAGCTTCTGCAGTAGACAGGGCAGGCTACCATGTGCTGGGCTAGATAGAGGGCTCGGAATCCTGCTGTGCTCTTGCCCTATTGTGCATCTCAGGGAGACCAAGTATGTATTTCCTCCCTGCTCAACCCCTCTGTCTCTCCTCTCACAGGGATCCGAGCTGTGACCACTGGATCAGAACCTTTTATCCAAGTGACCAGCCTGGCCATTTCATCCTGGAAAATATGAGTGCTGAGTCCTGAGCAGTGGGACCCTGGTGTTGGATTTCTTGGGACAGAGTCCTCCCAGGAGGGCACAGGCCTCCCTGCCCACCGCACAGATGCTGTCCTGTGGTGAGGAGCCCCTGCTGGGCGGTCATGGCGAAAGGGGTCAGTCCCTTCTCCTGGCCAGGATAGGAACGAGCCCTGGCTGTCCACATTGCAGGTCACTGTGGAGTGCAGAGATACACCATGAGTATGGCGGACATCGACTATGATCAGCTTGCTGCGGTGTGTTTCACACAGGCTTTCAGAGACAGCGTGTATCTCTACCTCACCCTCTATGGTGCGTCCTCACGCCATTCCTCAGGGACCTGGTTCTCGGTTACACCTGGGGGAGGGCATCTCTATACCTGAAGACTGCAAAGTCTTCTCCAGTTCAAGTCCAGTTCAAGGAGGAAGGCATTTCACATTTCACTTCCCATGGGAGAGGGGTCTGAGACCTCCTTCACGCTTTCAAAAGTACTTACAGTGTGAGCCATGTATGCTGGCCTATGTCATTCCAGTACTGGGAGGCCGAGGGAGGAAGAATGTGGGTTTAAGGCCAGACTGAGCTACATAGCAAGACCTAGAGTGAAAAAATTTAAAACAAAACTGGACTGTCTTTCTGTTGGCCACCCACTCTCTGGCCATTTGGCTACAGGGAGAACCAAGGAGCTGAGTCCTGACCTGAAGGAGCACTTCATCAATTTTGCCAAGTCCTTTGGCCTCACTGATGACAACATCGTCTTCCATGTCCCTATTGGTAATGGACAACGGGGGAGAGGGGACAGGGAGGTGAGGTGTGTCGAGGCCTGATGCTGCCTGCTAGGGAAACCGGGCAGGAGACACTCAGTCGTCTCCTCTGGTCACTGGAGAGGATGTGCCCCCTCTGTGAGTCCCCACGTGCTCCCCTGCCAGTTTAGCCAAGGCCTGTCCAGGTGACAGTTTCAGGCCTGGGCCCAAGTGTCTCCAGTCTCACTGCTCTAAGCCACCTCTTCTCCATTTCTTGGGCCTTGCTGTCCTGGGCCATCTCCCTTGTTCCCTGGGGCTTGCTCATTTCTTATGTGGGAGATGTCCTTACATTCAAGTGCCCTGGCCTGGGCAGGGGGCTCCAGCCAGGGCACTCGGGGCCACTGGTTGAGGTACTCTCAGGGCTCAGCTGATAAACAGTCCAGAGCCCTTGGTACCTGAGCAGCTTTGAAGCCCAAACACTCAGGGGAGCTGATTCCTAGGCCCTGAATTTGGGGAACTCCTAGATGCTCTGCAGCTGGGCTGGGCTGGGCTTGAGGCAGACATGAGTAGTCCAGAGGTCCTGGCAGCCAGAGTATCACACACACACACACACACACACACACGCGCGCCTGTCTGCTCGGATGTTCTTTCTCCCCAACAGAGGCATGCATCGATGACTGAACAGGCAGTGAGTGTGGCTGGCCAGGGGGCTGGTGGGAGGCCAGGGCATGAAGGCCTGGGGGTCTCAGGCCTGGGCTTCTTCCTCTGCCCCCATCCTGGAACCCAGCCACCTTTCTGTGTTGTCCCCTCTCAGGTGCCTCCTGTCTCTCCACCCCTGCCCTTCCTGTTACTTCTGTCCAAGGTTCCATGTTGCTGCCCCACTGTCTACAATGCCCATGAGAGAGCTGTGCTCTCAGTGCAGCGCTGTCCACCCAGGTGCCCCCAGAGCCACTCCCCATACGGAGCCCCTCTTGTATGCTAAATAAACTTTAATTATTTATGTCACAGGCCTCCAGGTCTACGTTCCTTGTCCCCAGGGAAAGGTGCTTATGACTTTTGCTCCACAGCCTGGATGCCCATGCAGATGAGAAGGTTCAGAGTGGCTGCTGTGGCCAGGGCACTGAGGGCTACAGCTCCAAACAGCTTCTGCAGTGGACACCTGGTATCCAGTGGGTCGTCAGTGGCTCTTGGACTCCTGAGGCACTGGTCAGGAAGCCTTTGCCTGTTATGGCCCTGGCACTGGATAAGACATCTTGTATTCCCAGCTCTGGCATCTTCCTGTTTATAGCTACTGGCATCCCACTTTGTCCAAGATTGGGGCTTGTCCCTTGCAGCTACTCTGTCTTCCCATAGTGCCCTGCTCTGTGGCTGGGCCTCTGTTGGACACCACCGAACATGGCTTGTGGGAGAGGACAGGCCTGGCTCTCTGGAGAGACCGTTTCTCCTTTGCGCTTGGGAGTCCAGGCCAGGCCTGGAGAGTGCCCAGCCCAGGCGCTGGAAGAGAAGACATCACTGGCCCAGAGCCATGGGACTCAGGCTCCTGCCTGGGATCTTCCCATGGGTCCCTAGGAGACGGGCCCTTCTGCCCGTGTCCAGCCTGCTCCATGCATCCCAGTAGGGGAGAGAGGTCAGGGTCTCCCGCTGCTCCTGTCCCTATATATCTATTTCAGTTGGGGGCAGTAGGTGGCTGAGCCTCCCCTCTGGAGAAAGGACATGAGCAACACGGGAATGGTGGAGGACCAGGGAGGCCCTACAGGAGAAACTGTTCCCTGTCACAGGGGCATGGCGGACCTGGGCCAGCAGGGATGGAAGAGATCAGTGCTGAGAACAGCACTGAGACCTTTGCTTGTCTGCAGACCTTTTGGAGCCCCACCCTCAGGAGTCTGGAGGGAAGAACGAGCTTCTGGGAACAGGGCTTAGTGGCCCAGATCTTGGCCTGGATGGAAAATCACCCTCCACCCCCCTCCCACGACTCCCAGAATCGCCTCCCGTGGAGGGCATGCTCTGTAGCTATGTGATGAACAGACAGGACAGAGGTCACAGGGCATGGGGGTGGGTGCTTCCCTCTGTGTCCAGTCACTCGTGTGGGCACTGCCCTGCCCAGGGTTACTACAGCCAAGTGTCTTTCTCTGCAAGATAGGCCTTGTCTGCTGGGACAGAGGTAGCTCACGGCTCCTCAGTCTCTACTTACATCTCTGGTTGCCTCTCCTGTCCTGGGCCACCTCCTGACAGTGCTGGTTTCCCCTGCTCCATGCTACCTCCTCCCGTACTGCTGGGTTCCCTTGATTCAGGTCACTTCCTCCCCACTCCCTCATCCCTGTCTTGGGCCACCTTCTCCCCACATCCACAGGTTTCCCGAAAGCCACATGTTTGACCTCTCAAGGGCAGCTTTCCCATAGTGCATTTCCTCCTCCTACCAACATGCCCTGCAATCTGGATCACCTGAGAATCTCCCAAATCATCAAATTACTATAACACATTGCTGCACACTGGTGGCTCAAAACTATACCTTCCAAAGGCCCGAAGCCCCAAATCTGAAATTCACTGTGTACAGGAATTGAGGTGTAGTCAAGGCTTTGCTCCTTTAGCAGGCTCTGAGGCTGGACCTTGCCTCCTCCAGCCTTGTGGGCCTCTTGTTCCTGCCTCTGCCTCTATCTTCCCATGGCTCTCTCTTCTGCACTTAAATTCCCTCCCCCGTCTCACAGAGGACACTTGGGATGACATTTATGCCCCATCTGGATAGTCCAGAATAATCTGCTCATCTCAAATCTTTAATTCATTTTAAATCACAGGATGGTAAAAGAGAGTGAGAAGGAAAGAAAGATAAATGGGAGAGGGAAAAAGAGGGAAAGGCAATCATAGGTTAGAATATTTATCTTCTAAACCAGTGTGGTTGGTATGAGCCTGTAATTGCAGCACTCAGTGGTTCAGCAGGAGAACTGTGAGTTGGAAGCCAGCCTGGGCCGCATATGAAGTTAAAGGCCAGCCTGGGGTGCCTGGTGAGACCCTGTCTTAAAAACACAAAAGAGACCAATACAAAAAAAATCATTAAGGAATTTAAAAAATAACAATTAGGAAAATGATCCTTAAATTAATCACAACAGCAAAGATTTTTCTATTTTCTTTTTTTTTTTCTTCAAATAAAGTCACATTTACAGGTTGCAGAAATGGGAGTGGAGCTCAGTGTCTGAGTGCTTGCCCTGTATGCATGACGCCCTGGGTTTGTCCCCAGCACCAAACCAAACCAAACCAAACTGTGGAGAGCGGTGTTAGCCATAGAGGCTCCATGTTAAATCTTACCCTCCATTGTACAGAGCAAGGAGACTCTGTGATGAGGAACCACGTCCTTGCCAAATTAGATGTTTACCTTCAGAAATTGTCCTGGAACATGACGAACGTTTTGTAAACCCGAGAAACAAGAAAGCCCATGAGGGTGGGGAATTTCCAAAGAATTAGAGAACAAGGAAGCAGGTGTCTTTGGATAAGGGTCATGATTAATAACCCAACTCACCTGTGATAAAAAGGGGAGGAGAAGAAAAAAAGCGTGGTGGCAGTCTCTCTGGGAGGCTCCCGACTCGATCTCTGCGTCTTTCTTTTTCTTCATCCTCACTCCCCCATTCAGGTGCTGTTTGACAAGTGACGGCTGGTTCTGTCACCAAACCAAAACACAAATAAATGAAAACATTAAAAAAGAGGTCCTAGGAATTATTGCATGGATATCATTTGCGGGCCGTTTTTCAGACTCCCTCAGTGTCCCTGACCCACACTGAACTCGCCCACATTCTAGGTTCCCCTGTCCTGCCCTTCTGCTCTGCAGTGTGTCCATGGAGGGACATGGGATCATCTCCGATGGGCACTGGTGACTCAGTGCTGCAGAGTTAGTACAGTTGGAAACAGAGAAGTTGAGGGAGCCATTCCCTTCCCTTCATTCAGCTCTAAATCCACCACCACCCTAATGATTATCCATGTTTAAGCTTAGGAGGTCGCAATGCCCAAGGCGCCAGACCCTTGGGGGAGCCAATCCCTAGACCCAGAACGTAGGGAACGCCAAGATGCTCTGCGGCTGGGCTGGGCTGGGCTTGAGGCCGACATGAGTAGTGCAGGGGTCCTGGCAGCCAGAGTATCACACACACACACACAAACACACGCACACACACACGCACAGGCCTGCCCACTCTGATGTTCTTTCTCTCCTACAGCAAAGTGCATCGATGACTGAACAGGCAGTGAGTGTGGCTGGCCAGGGGGCTGATGGGAAGCCAGGGCATGAAGGCCTGGGGGGTCTCAGGCCTGCGCTTCTTCCTCTGCTCCCATCCTGAAACCCAGCCACCTTTGTGTGTTGTCCCCTCTCAGGTGCCTCCTGTCTCTCTCCCCCGTGTTTTTCCTCTCACTTCTGTCCAAGGTGTCATGTGGCTGCTCCACTGTCCACAATGCCGGTGTGCCCAGTGTCCTGCCTGGGAAGATAGGCTATCTCTAGGAGTCGTGGTGAGCAAGCTCTTTGCTTTTAAATTGATCTGAATGACCTCGAAAGGACAAGGCCAAATCCTGGCACCCTGTGACCCCAAATCACTGGTGTATATAGCGGCAGAGTGCAGCCCACCTTGCCCTGGGCAGGTACATTGCCTCCATTCCAGGGCTCTGCAGTGAGCTGACACTGCAGCCTCAGCATCTGGCTTTGTCAAGCAGCTACATCTATGGTCCCTGTACCTGGCTGTGGGCCTCTGCCTGCTGAGCTCATAGAGAGGACAAGTCCCTGAGGGTCCCTGCTGTCCTGAGTGCTCCTGTAAATGGGTTGGACCTGTGGAGTAAGGGTGGGACTCACAGTATCTCACCCAGCAGCAGGGTCTGGCTTGGGGCTCTGCGAGGGCCAGGATCTGGGCTCAGCAGGCTCAGAGCAGCACGCTGTCCTTCCCTGTCCAGAATTCCAAGTCAGCCGTCCCAACTTCCCTGACCTTTACGAGAACCAAGAAGGTTCACAGGGTATGTGGAGTGGAGCATTCTTGTCTTTCTTTTCTTTCTTTTTCTATAGTA